ACTTTTTTCACTCCACTCTGTTAAACACACATCTATCCATTGGGTTCGCTCAACCGCACATCTGATCATATTATTCGTTGCTCGATGGTCATTCCATGCTCTCAAAAATCTGTCACCCGGTCACCTTTCTAACACATCATTCGCTCTAACTGCCATAAATTCGAATGTGATACTACTTATACATACAATAGAGGATGTATTAAATGTGCGCTCCACATCGTGCTTGATAAAGTGTCTCAGGTATCTCTGCAAATCAATTTACCAAAACGTAATCAAGAGCTACAAGGATCGAATTGGTTAACTGCAAGTAATGGAAAAGGCTAGAAAACTCACTCGTAGCAGTGCTTCCAGCGTGTCCCATGCGTCATACGACTTAAATCAAGTTCAACACCACCTCTGGGTATCACTAATGCAGTTCGAGAATTATATTTAAATGCCTCTCATGAAGTGTGTGGTACCCAGAATAAGAGCCGACGATTGGGTCCCATCATCCATCCATCATCTCCAAGAAAAGTAAGCGTCAATCTGCGGTCATCATGGGGGGTGTATGCGATTAGCTCAGTAGTGTCGCGCAGTGCATGAGTTGAGTTGGATGAGAAGCAAATGAAGTCATCGTTCGCAGTGTTGGGTGTGGAAATGGCCGCTGTTGGATGTGGGATGCAACTGCCATGTGGGGAAGATGGTAAATGGTCTTCTTTGGTGTGGTCTTGCAATGACTTCTCAATTGTTGAATACCAGACCCAGACAGTCTCATCCCATGAACAAGAAATGATGTGATTCCCATCTGGTGAGAATGAGACTGATTCAACCCAATGAGTGTGCCCCCGCAATGGCTGACCAATTGGCTTCAACATCCCTGCATCCCACAGCCGGATAGTCTTATCTCCCGAACCAGAAACAATGCGAGTACCATCTGGTGAGAACAAGACCGATCGGACCCAATCAGTGTGCCCTTTCAAGGGCTCACCAACTGGCTGCCCCGTTCCTGCATCCCACAGCCGGATGGTCCTATCGTCTGAACCAGAAACAATGCGAGTCCCATCTGGTGAGAACGAGACTGATCTGACCCAATCAGTGTGCCCCTTCAAGGGCTCACCAACTGGCTGCCCCGTTCCTGCATCCCACAACCGGATAGTCATATCCTTCGAACCAGAAACGATGCGGGTCCCATCCCGCGAGAATGACACTGAGTAAACCTCGCCACTATGCCCCTGCAAGGGCTCACCAACTGGGTGACCTGTCCCTGCATCCCACAGTCGAATATTGTCATCCACCGAACCTGTTATGATACGAGTTCTGTTCGGCGAGAATGCGACTGAGATGACCGACCCAGTATGGCCCTCCAAGGGCTCACAGACAGGCTTCCCAGTCACCACATCCCACAGCTGGAAAGTGTTATCCTCAGAACCTGTTGCGATGCGAGTCCCATCCGGAGAGAACGAGACTGACCAGACACGACTAGTGTGCCCCAACAAGGGCTCACCGACTGGCTGACCTGTTGCTGCATTCAACAGCCGGACAGTGCCATCCTCAGAACCAGTCACGAAGCGGGTCCCATCCGGCAATAGCAAAACTGAGGTAATGAAATTGGTGTGGCTCCGTAAGGACTGACCAACTGGCTGCCCAGTAGCTGCATCCCACAGTCGGATAGTGGTATCCACAGAACCAGTCGCAATTCAAGTTCCATCCAGTGAGAATGAGACTGAGGTGACCCAAAAAGTGTGCCCCAGCAAGGGCTCACTGACTGGCTGCCCTGTTGCTGCATCCAACAACCGGACAGTCCCATTGTACAATCCTATCACGATGCGGCTTCCGTCTGGTGAGAACAAAACTGACCTAACAAAATAAATGTGCCTCTCTGAGGGCTCACAGACAGGCTTCCTCGTCGCCACATCCCACAGCCGAACAGTGCTATCGTCTGAACCAGATACGATACAAGTCCCATCTGGAGAGAACGAGACTGACCTAACCCAATCAGTGTGCCCAAGCAAGGGCTCACCGGCTGGCTGTCCTGTTGCTGCTTCCCACAACCGGACAGTCTTATCGTGTGAACCGGAAATGATGCGAGTCCCATCCCGCGAGAATGACACTGAGTTAACCTGACTAGTATGCCCCAGTAAGGGTTCACCAACTGGCTGCCGCATTGCTGCATCCCACAGTCGAATAGTGGTATCTGTCGAACCTGTCACGATGCGAGTTCCATTTGGCGAGAACGCGACTGAGTTAACCAGGTCAGTATGCCCCAATAAGGGTTCACCAACAGGCTGGTGCATTGCTACATCCCACAACCGCACAGTGTCATTGACTGAGCCAGAGGCGAGGTGTGTCCCATCTGGCGAGAATGAAACTGAGAGAACTGGGGCAGTGTGCCCCAGCAAGGGTTCACCTACTAGCTTCCCCATTGCTGCCTCCCACAGATGCACAGTGCGATCACCCGATCCAGTCGCAATGAGAGTCCCATCCGGCGAGAACGAGACTGAGTTAACGTAATCAATGTGCCCGCTGATCACAGTCTGAACAGCCGTCTAGTTGAGATCATGTCCAAATGCCAGACGAAGAGAGTTGGGAAACCATGCAGAAAACGTTTTGGATAGTGCACAGTTGACGGGCGAGAATGGCAATGTTGATAAATATAGATGGGGTGTGCTGTGCAAGATGATGCCGCCAAAGATTTGAATAAATCTCTGCATGTCCATTGCAGTGGACGAGGCTTCTTCATATATGGTCTCACCCTGTAATTGCGATTCTGTGTTAGCGAGCATGTTATCTGACACTCGATAACCATGTGCTCACCTTCAACCACTTGGCGATAAGCGGAAGGACGAGGACTGCACCGCTGAGTGCATTGATAAGGCAGAGTGCCTCGAGCCAGAAGAACAGTCGTTCATGCTCAAAGAATGATTTTATTTCTTTGGTGAGGTCTGGATTGAAGTCAGTTGCTTGCATGTGGACAGGCCAGAATCGGCAGGCATAGGATAGATGTGGGGGGATGCTTTTTTCAACTCGTTCTCGCAGACTGGGATCTTCGGAGTTGGGGAGCTACAATGATTTTAGATTGCAGATATTGAACAACAGTTTATGGTTCATCACTCGAAGCGATACGAAAGCAAGGTCTCGTTGTACCTTCAGTATGTCGATGGAGAACTCTCCGCTGCATTAACTGTCTGTAAGGAAATTGTGGAAGGATGCATGAAGGGGTCGGATGGGGGTGGATGAGTCAGTGATGCTGCTGAGGAGGGATCCCATATGCTTGACAATGACTTGCACTTCGTAATGCTCGCTTTTGTCTGGAGAATGGTTCCGCATCACATTCAGGGACTCCAAAGAGAGGGGTTCAGCTGCACCAAGGATTTGTCCCATCACAGAACGAAATCTCGTTAGCTGTTTGTGCTGAGACGCGGAGTGCGTGGATTTATCCTTTCGCATAACTCCTGTCAAAATGACGTGATACATATCATACAACAAGTTTTGCCGCTCAGCAGGATCATGGGACGTGACAAGACTAAAGCACTCCATCGGAGATAGACCAGGGGATTCTTTGATGTATGCGCAGGCGAGACGCGCCCACTCGAAAAGCCCGTCAGCTTTTTCAGCGAGGGTTGTGAATTCTCTGTTCTCAAAATGCGAGAGCCCTTCCAGCTCCTTTGATACGTAAGTGCGGATGTCGCGCTCTGCGGTGGCTGACGAAATGTCATTCATGGACACCCGTCAAATATGCTGAGCACCTGAGAGCTCAAATTCAATGTCACAAAGCGGGCGAGAGGTTACGATGATCTGGAAGTTGGCTGGGAGTTCAGTGATTTGTTGAACACCTAGTTTGCCCACAAGAACACAGAGAATGCGAAGCCACGTCTCGACTCCACCACTCTCGTCCAGTGCATCTATCACGATGACAACAGGTCTTACCATTGACCCTGAGGGCTTCCCAAGTGGTTTCATCAGAAGCTTGTCCCACTGCTGAACGATGTCCGGTGTAGCCTTAAGTGAACTTGCATCTTTAACTGCCTCTGCCAATACTTGTCTCATCTCCAGATCGCGGTCGGCCAGGTCATGCGCGATCGTAGAAAAAATCTTTTCATGACGACGCTTGGCGTCTCGCTGGCGATCGAAGCAGAAGCATGAACTGAGCCCTCCCACATCATTGAACCAGTTGGCAATCATGTGTGTGATGGCCGACTTGCCCTTGCCTGCAGGGCCAGATAACCAGAGCACACGCTGAACGTCATCTCCGGTGCTGTTGACCCAGTCCATGATCTCCAACAAGATTTCCGTACGTGTCCCTGATAGGCATTGTTTGCCAGTATCCAGTCCAGCACCTTCCACATATGCCATGCTGCTGAGGTCCAGTGTATTGCCTGAAGATGTGTGAATAGATGTCAAGTCAGAAGCTTGAAGAGTAACCCTTACCTGTATGGTGGACGAATATCTCTACATCACGAGTGACTTGGTCCCGGAAGCTTTGCATGAGGACATCCAACACATTGATGTACTGCTGAGTCATATTTTCTGCTTCCGAAATAACATTTTTCCCGAGTCTCTTCCCTACAACAATAGTACAGGATAGATAATGAGCAAGTGAGCAAAACACAATAATTCATGGGCTCCTCACAGAAGTTTTTTGTCGCAGAGTAATCCTTGATACACTGGGAGCACTCAAGAGTCTGCTGAACTATTCGTCCGACAATCCCCTGCATCAATGGAATTCCACCAAGAGTCTTGTCTTGCATCATGAAATCATACACTTGACCTAACTTCTCGAGAAGCCGGAGTATCCCTTGGTCGCGATCTGTTTGAGCGAGAATTATCTGCACAGATGGCGGCTGAGCATGAGATAAGACCCAGAGTGGAACAATACGTAGTTTTGATGCAGAAGACAGTAGGCCCAGTGCCATCTTTGCGTAAGGGTGCACCTATGCAAGGGTTCGGTTCGGTTCCAACAAAGAGGAATGGGCCCATACATCCACAAGCTTCTCGACAACGCTGTCGAATATCTTGAGAGGTCAAAGATATGTGTCCTCAAATTTACATGCATCCCCAAGATCCGTTGATGCCTTTTGTGCGGTGGAAAGTCCAGATGTCACACGTCCTGAAAGTAGATTCATGCCTTTGGCAGCATCGTTGGTGTCTCGAAGTGCCGATTGGGGATCGGCGCCTTGTTTTGCACCAGGGGGAGCATCCTGAATCTGGTAAACAACCGAACGTACGGAGAGTGCATGAATCAAAAGGTGACCTACCTCAATGACAATCGGGGGAACAGGGTCGCGGCTGCATGAATCCTTCAAGTTCGAGCGCTTGTGTACGATATCAGCCTTATCACAGTGCACTCACTATTGATTTCGACTCACAGAAATCTTTTTTATCGCACCATTCGTGACCTTCCCCAAAAACCGACTCAATTTGGACCCTAGACAAGGGATGCATTGACAAGAATCAGTGTTTCGAGTGCAACTTGATGAACATCAGCCACGTACCGGGCGTTCCGTGGCGTTTGGTTCGTTAGGTATCTCGATGTGTGGAGGAGGACCTGACCTTGAGTCCCTCAATTGATTCTGGTCGCTCATGGTGTTTGATGATCAATCTGTGCAAAGTAGAGCCTGAATGCGACGACTTGAAGTTGAAGAAAGGGTGGGCCTCATGCCATTTAAATACACAGCAATACCCCTGACCGCAAGCCTCATGGCAATATTTACTGCTGTATTGGCTTCAGGCGCTAAGCATTGGGTGGGCGCCAGGGAACTCCGGGAAACGCAAGGAAGTCGAAGGGACAACTTAAAGATTTGCAGTAGTAGTCACGGCCCACGGGAACCTCGGTCAAGAATTTGGTAATACCTCCGAGTCAGTAATATTCGCAACTGCTGGCAAGCGCCGCCGGTGATCTACTAACGCTGTTCTTCGAGAACATTCGTGGTCCTGTTCGAATCCTGACCGGGACCCCTCATATTCCTCTTCATCAGCATTTATTCTAGCGAAGACGTCACAATGCCGCTTAACTACTCCAAATGGGATCAACTCGAGCTCTCTGATGATTCCGACATCGAAGGCCATCCGAACGTCGACAAGCGTTCTCTCATCAGATGGAAACAGCGGGATATTCACGAGAAGCGCGAGGCCCGCAAAATCAAGATCTCAGCCCTCCACGCCGAGATCGCATGCAATGGCGTCCTTTCTCCCCGTCTGCACAGCATTCGCGCTACACTTGGAAGCGCAGACGGCGGGTTGAAGTACTTTCAACAGTTAGTGGAGAAACTGCAAACGCAGCCATCTCCGGAGGCACCGCCGACGAACGCCAAAGATCAGCCAACTTACGATGCAATGGTGTTGTCTCTGCTTCTCCAGATTTGGGATGGCGCCAAGAGCCTCCCTGCAGATGAGCGGGAGGCTGCTGTACTCAGTGGCCTCGATCAGCACATCAAGCAGCTCGCACTTCACACACAGAAGCTGGGGAAGGATCTTGTTGACGAGGAAAATGAACAGAAGAAGCACATAACGAGTGACGATATCCACGAAGGATTCGATAGCAAGGTAAGATCGGCGATATATTGCTCTTGATTGATGGTATTCACGACGCTCCCGATAGTACACTCCCGCTAAACCACCGCCTCCACCCGTAAAGAATGCTAAAATCGACGCGCCGTCAAAGACCAAGGCGACCAAAACCACCGAGTTCGAGGTGCTGAATCCTGCTGCCTCGAGTTCTAACGCGCCATTGTCATCGGCTACTCCGAAGTATTCTCCAGACTCGGTCGAGGAAGATGAATTAGAGGAAGAGCTTCCAGAACTTACGCCTTCTCTGGAACAATTCTCTCAATTATCGTTATGGGAGTACACCCAATCTTTCAACTTCATTCAAGCAAACCGAGACGTCGTTGTTCCCGGTGCATCTGACGCGTTACTTGTGGCGGCTTTCCGTGCAGAGTCGAAGGGCCAGTTCGGATACGCAAAGAAGTGCGTGCACCAAAGCTTACTCCTGCAGTACTGCGATAAGCTAGGTAAAGATGGCGTCCGATTATTTTTCCAAAAGCAAGTACCTAATTCCTGCGCAAACTGACGTACATATACTAATTTGATACTTTCGTAGGATGATCTCAGGCGACCAGCGCGCTATCTCCGTCTTCGTCAATGATGTTGAAGGCACATATTCTCACCTTAAGACGCGTGCAAAAGCAGCAGCAACAGAGACTTCTGACGTGCAGAAGGAGCAGATACAACTTGTGCCGGAGAATCCATCTGCAACTATCTCGTTCAACGTACCTGATGGTCCTCCGCCTGAGGACTTGCGCCTCGAGGGTCCAGGGACGGAGGACCTGGACCTTGAACAAGTTCGCGAAGCATTGCACATGCGATGGGATGTCTTCCAGAGCTTCCCCGAGGACCTCAAGGCTGCGCTCAAAGTTGGGACGCTGGATGAGGTCAACAGAGTGCTGGGCAGTATGGAAGTTAGCGTTGCGGAAGACGTAGTGGCAAAGCTTGATGCGGCTGGTATCATGAGCTTCGTGTCGGGAGGTATCAGGGATGAGACTGGAGATGAGGACAAGGAAGAAGACGAAGTGAATGCCGAATGACTTAATCCGATCATTTCAAGACGCGTACATATTGCTGTATTGTATAACTGCTTTCGAACGAAGAGTCCGATGTATATTGTACATCAATGTCATCTTGCTGACTTGCTTGCCCCGATTCCAAGAAGATACGCAGTGCAAACGGCGGCACTGCAGGAAACTTGGTAGATGGAGTCTCAAAATAGCCACTAGTTTACACGGGACACGTCTATACAACTAGTCGCGCAAGATTGAATTGTAGATAACAAAACCTCCCAGCCGTGTATCCAGTCCCTTACTACTATCTCTCGAATTAGCGGAAGTCACTGCGTGCTGTTGGTGCGCACCTTTCAATCGGAACTTCCATTGAGCCCATAAACCAAACCCAAGGCCACTCTAGCAGCTGCCCTCTTACGTTCCTGCGAATCGGGCATCCCTGCAATTTCCTCCTTAAGACCCTGAAGCGCGCTCAGCATGCTTTGCAGATCGAGGCGCTCGAGGTCCGTCTCTGATGGGTCGGCGGTTTCAACTTCGGACGGCACGGAAAGATCCCCTTGCAGCGAACAGATATCATTTCCATCAGTGGGTGAGAGAGCAAGAGATGTTGCACCGAAGATACGCTCTGAGGTTGCAGCAATCTCAGCATTTGAAGGCATTTCGTCGCTAGAATCTTCGTGTTTGTGGGATTCTTCTGCTTCTGGGTCTCCAAAATCGGAGACTGACCCTAAAGACCTATAAGATATGCCAAGATCTGAGGCATTCGCGGATAAGTGAGAAAAGTCGTGCTCTTCATTGGCTGGCGTCGATCGCCCGGAAGTATCAGAACCAGAGTCGAAAGTGAACGTTGAACTGAAGCTCAACGAAGGGAGAGGTGGGATTTGTCTCTCAGATGATATTTGTGCAGGCTGAGTTTCAGCATCTGCTGCAGACGCTGAAGCAGACACGAAAGCGGTGAAATCGTCGTCAAATGTGTGATTGTAGAGGCCCTGTGTAGAGGAATCCTCTGTAGGCGACAAGCTGCCGGTTGTGGCTGCGGCACTCCACGGATCATTGCTTATGGTTTTCTCACTTGTATGAAGATGTCCTTCGAAATTGTCTTCGTCGAGCCACCGCTCTAACTCTTCGAGTTCTCGTTGCATACGATCACGCCCTCCTGGGGAGCGCGTAGCGATGAGACTGCTGAGGTCTTCTCCAGTATCACGGTTCGTCGCCAAGAGGCCAAGACCCCTTCCTTTGGAGGTTTGTACCATGGAGGGCCACATAATCGTGCTCAATGCATCTATGGCCCGGGAAACTCCTGGAGTGGAACTATGGACGAGTCTCTCCATGTTTCAGAAACATATGCTTACCGCCATGATCATGATGGTCAGAAGATTTTGCTAAATCTTGCACATCAATGAATTCAAACCCCAGGGATCCAAGAAACGAGTCTATTTCGTCATCTTCAGTATCTTCGCCTCCGGGCGTAGTAGACGGAAGCCGAATGGCTAGAGATACTTCGAAATCATGATGTGATAGGCGTTGTGATATCATCTGGACATTCTCCCGGTATGGCTGCTCAAAAATCAGGCATATACAAAAACCATAGCAAGCCTTTGAGCACTTACCTCTCCGACAGTCCATGTGTACACCACGGCGGGCACGCTTTCTAACTCGTGATTGTTCGGTGTCCAATATGGGAGGTGATGGAATTCGAAGTGCACATCAGCAGTGTAGTACTTGTTCGTGATAGTCCAAGGGATGGTGAATGAATTGTCGGTTGCGATCGGGAGGTCACTCTGTGCCAGTCCTGCGTCGACTCGTCAATGCAAGAAATGATTACACTGCAGCGACAAACGTGCTTTGCAGAAACTGCAAGGTGTCGTCTTTCGAAGAAGATAGAATGAGAATACGACAAGAACAGTCTGCCATTCGTAGTTCGACGGTAATGGTTTAGAGATCGACTGTGCAGTGCCGCCGGTGCAAATTCAGATAATTTTCCAGAAAACCATATACGAAACACACACCTTGAGCAGGCGGTTTCTTAGACAGAAGCTGATGTTATAGGCCGTGGTAAGCAATGAGCTCGATGGAAGCAACAAGATGAGTCGTCTGCTGAGTAAATCCGGAGGGATTGACTCGGACCCGGACGCGATTTCGGCGCAAACTCAGCTCATCAGTGAACCCATGAGTTTTTTGCATCAATGTAGCATTTGTAAACTTCTGCTCCTGCTAAACATAACATATGCTAGTATTTATGCTATCGCCATCGCGAGCAAGGAACGGGAGCGTGGTGGAACAAATAAGGGATTGCAAATATGTACACAACAGGGTGCCATTGGGTAGTTCAACGTTAACCTTGACTGATACCCGACATTGAACCCGACCCTACCAGTGAAACATCATCAATGCATCAACTTTCTTTGGAATCGTGAAGCGACAAGACTGGCGCCGCTGTAATATTCTGCTTCTCATGGCTCAACCAATGGTCGCGGTATCATGCGGCGCAACCAACCAACCAAGCTCCTACTGGCTAACCTTTACATTACCCACGGCCAAACAGCAGCTGTCCAGAACAGCAGGACCCGCAATATAATCTCGGCCTTCCCGAAAGTTGGGAATGTACTATGTAGTAAGCGCGGGAAATTCTTTCTCTTGTGCACAACGTGTACTCATGTCTACTCTGCATGAATGTGTGGGCCCGGATAATATTTATGTCCACAATCGGTACTGTGGAGACGCGGGAGGAGGTTGCGCGTCAGTTCAATCTTATCGATAACAGTACGCTGCCGGGCCAGGATGTTCGTTATCTACTAGAGTGCTCTGAGGTATTCCACTCACTGAGAACCTCCAAGTCACATCGGCGTGCACACGTCGACTAAACTTCCACCGCTGTCATGGATCTTGTCTATTGGGCACGTTTGAGATTAGTTCTACCGGTTTAAATAACCGGCAAAATCCCAGGGTATGTAAACTATTGAGTATGACCTCGCCATTCAACCTCATCTAGAATTAATAGCCTGTGGAATTATTCCTTAGCGTTTCTCTCGAGCACTTCAACTTAATGCTTTGATCTTTCTCTGTCCTCTTCAAATCCTCGAAAGCCGCAAATTCAGCAGCAACGTCGTCAAGCGAGATACCCTATGGACCGATACAGCGACACGAGAGGGCGTCCTCCAGCGTGCACCATCTTACTCTAGGGACGTTGGCTTTCATGTCGTTTAATTTAAATGGTATCATCGGACCTAAACCATATCTTCCCAGTCTCGGACCGGTTGGCAAACCTCCAAGTTCTGCCAGAATAGTTGCACTGCATGGCACTAGCTCTCCTGTGCCCGTTTTCGCGAGCTGTTAATCTACCAAACGCAGTTGTCGTTCCAAAACACTCAGTATAAATAAGATCATGTTTCCTTCACAACGCTACCAACCACATCCCTCTCCTGGGACCCGGCATTCCAGCTGTTCACCCATTACATTTTGCAGTACATCATGTTTTTCCTTTCTTTTGCTTCAAGCCTTGTGCTAGCATGCATCTTGCAGGTTGCGGCGGTCTCTTATCGCGCACCTCCTGCAATGCGTCGGGCGGATGTCTCAGTTGTCACTCAGATGTCGTCTACCGATGTAGCTGATCTGAAGCCATATGCTGAATTTGCTCGTATTGCTTATTGTTCGCCTCTCATCGTAGAGGGCTGGAAGTGTGGCAGTACGCAATCTCACCCTACTTTATTTGCTTTGCCTTGACTCAATAATTGGTGTCTTAGAATCTTGCGAGGCGTTGCCTGATTTCAAGGTTTCTCTCACTGGGGGTAACGACAACAGTATCCAATATTGTACGTTTCAATCAAGATATTGCATGCCTTTCCAGACATTTCGCAGACTACGTTGGCTACTGGCCGACAAAAAATACCGTGGTAGTTGCTCATGAAGGTACGGACCCAACTTCAATGTAGGTGTAAATGTTTCACAGCATGCGACTCGGGAAAGCTTATTGGCCTACATAGCCTAGCTGTTCTTACTGATGCCAATGGGTTGGTGGAACACCTGGACTCCACGCTTTTCCCTGGTGTCAATGGGAACGTCAAGGTTCACAGCGGATTTGCCGACGAGCATGCGAAAACTGCGAGCGCCATCTTGAAGGAGGTGAAGAGCTTGATCTCTCAATATAACGCCACGAGTGTCACACTGGTCAGTATCAAACATTTGTGACTACTCTAAATAACTTACTTTCGAGGGCAGGTCGGGCACTCTCTGGGAGCCGCCCTCGCGGAGATCGAATGTGTGTTTATGGCCTTGAACCTTCCCTCCAACATCCATATCAAAGGTGTGACATATGGTACACCCCGCGTAGGAAATCCAGCATGGGCCGCTCTCTTTGATTCCTTGGTAAGCTTGATTCTCCCCTTCTGATCCTGTTGTCCATTCACCACATTGAGTCTATGATTCATTACTAAAATTACGGGACAGGTATCGGACTTCAAACGCGTTAACAATAAGAAGGACATTGTCCCGATTGTTCCGGGGCCCGAGCTGGGCTACTCACATGTCCATGGAGAGGTCCACATCATATCTGATGATCAGGTAGTCCTGTGTCCAGGCAAGTATAACATTTGCCTTCTCGGACATGATCGCTCATCTCTCATCGGTCTATATAGGTGACGATGATTCCACGGATGATCAGTGCACAGTCAAGAGTGTGCCCAACATCTTTGCGGGCAATATCTTGGACCACTTGGGTCCATATCAAGGGATTTATATCGGCTATTGCCCACCGTAATTGACATAGACTGGGGCAGGCCTTACATATTGACATTCGCGACCTTAGAGACCAGAAGGACAACTGAGGGTCTCATAGAATAGAAAGTATTGTCATACAAAAAATACGGACACAAATTGGAATCTAAAAAAATTAGCATGGCCTTGTATTATATACCTGAACGCTGGGATAAGTGTTTGATTGGTTTTTATGAATCAAGCATGAATATTTGAATAACCGCAGGCATGGGTGTAATGGCGCCCATGCTTATACTATGTAGCATCATTCCTCCAATACTACCAGCATGCTTGCGACTCGGAGAACACGCGTACTCGTTGCAAGAGATATACAAGCATTGGAGGTACCGCGAATACTAGCTCATGATGATGACATCGTGGTCGCTATTTTGACCTAAATTCGGAGGTCATATTTGCTACCTCGACCGCAACTGAGGATTGTGCTACAGAATGCTACAGACCGCTCTGTAGCACTCTGTAGTGAATTACGTTTCCCTGATGGCCTTGTACGACTCGGAGTATGTATGCAGCGGTCCGAAAGCCGTATTGAATTGTTGTATCTCTGAATTCATGGGAAGTCTGGACTTCGGATGTATCTTAAAAACGAAAGACTACACTCACTGAAGCCTATGGCATTTTTCGGGGGAATATCAGTTGATAGTTGACTCGGACTCGTTGAACTCCTTCAGTATCTTGGCCGACCAGTGCAAAATAATTAGTCGATCATCACTAATGCGAGCATTGGTAGCATGCACTTGCAATTAATAGCGCGCCTAAATATAGCCGGGTAAACACTATTGCATACGCATGCGAACCCAGTCAGAAGAGCAAACTATATATGATCGTAGCGGCGCTGGCCAGGAAGCGCTAGTCCCCGACTCCAAGAAAAACGATAGATTGGCAGCAAACAATATGCATCCAAATTATTCGCCTTTGCCAGTCTATTCTGTTTTCATTTTAGACAGGTTCAGGCTGATTTTGGGCTGGATAGAGTGCAAGATACTGTCCTGTGACAGACATTCGGTAGCAAGCACGCCAAACTCACGAGCAAGAATCTGACAAAAAACACACTTGCTCCAGTATGAAATAGGTATAGCTGAATGATTCGCGAGTGTTTTTCGATGAGACTCAGAGCCTGTTGTAGAGTGTGAGTGTGCGACAGCGTGGCGTAAATAATACGCGTCTGGACGTTGGTGCGGTTCAACTTCTCTAAATAGCGAATGCCATCATCGACAGATTCCGAAATCTATGATGAAGACATCGTTTTAAAGGCTTGCGTAGCTGCTAAAGCGATAGCAAGAGATACACCAAAGACACGAAGATCATTAGCCACCGCAGGGCCATACAAGTTCAGAACTCAGCAACGGGCGAAGTGCCCCATATTCTTGTGCAAGGTGGGACAGGTGCCATCAAGAGACTCTTGAAGATCATCCGACATGAACCTGCAGCTGAGAGAATAACATCACTGACCTGGGGCAACAGAAGAAGAGGGAAAATTAGGAGCGGAGACAATGTCATGAATGCGTAGAATGATTGTCCGTTTCTGCTTGTTCTGCGGAAAGGAAATATATATGGTCTCGTCTCCCTACGGAGTAAATGGAATCTAATGGTGATGCAGATGCAGATCAGAGGAGAAACTAATTGTATAAAGAACATAAGGGCTTGCCGACCTTTCGGGATCCCGGAGATCATCACATTTGGCGCAAATTTGGCGCGCTGATCACATTTATGAGTTGATTAACAATTAGATTCGACGACGACACAGATCAGGCAGGTGTGGCCTCTATCATAACACTCTCCAGTCCATTCGCATACTGGAATTGCCCCGAGTTCTCATACTACCAATTGTCAGAGATCCTAAAAGCTTCAGAGGAAACGAGAAATAACACACCTCCCACATGTCAACAGCAATCTGACAGCTCTCCCGCACAACGCGCGGAGAATCCTCGCGTGTCATCCATTCTTTAAGATGGGGCAGCACCTCAGGTGTGGCGATTCCTCCAAGCGCCTCCGCAGCCTCGTGTCGCACCATATCGGACTCAGATGCGTCCTGCAGAACATTAAGCAGCGAGGGTACAGAGTGCGCGCTCAAGAGTTGACCGAAAACAAAGGCGATTTCGTGCCTGCAGTGCATGAGTTCAGCGTCGTGACCAAGTCAAAAATTGAAAAGAGGCGGACTTGAATAGGGCGCTGTCATCAGAGAATCCTGCTGCTAGTGCATCTACAGCTGCTGGCGTCCCGATGTTGCGGAGTGCAAACATAGCCCGATAGCGCTGGAAAAGGGGGACGGAAGTATCCAAAAGCGTGGTACGGAGGGAGACGATTGCAGATTCAGACAATCATCAGGTTTGGGTTGGCCAGAGAGAAGTTTGGAGGAGGGTGGAGCGGGGTCGATGGAGGTGTATGTCCTGTATAATTGTTGTGAATCACGCAGTGATAGACGTAGAATGGAATATCGAAACAGGACATGAAAGCTACATACGGAGTCTGATCTGAAGATTCTTTTGACGCAAGATGCTGGCGTCCCTCTTCAGAATTATCCCATTCAATTTTGGCGAGCGCGATCTCGCACGTTTCACGCACGCTCCTATTGGGATCTGCGAGGTACTTCGTGAGGACTACCTTGAAATCAGGCGATGAGATTGCGCCTATTGCTTCTGCTGCCTGTCTCGAATGCTAATTAGCATCATGATGCACTGGAGCGTACAAAAGCGGGACTGCGAAGCGGGACGATGGAGACGCTCACCTCATGCCGTACCATCGGATCCTCGTCCAGATTCTCCAGTACTGATTGAAGAACTGGGAGAGCTGAGACGAGCTTCATCTGTCCTAAGCAGTACGCAAGCTCATGCTTGAGCAGTGCCGAGTGATCGGCGAAACCTGGCAGATAAACCGTGCATCAGCGCACGCTCATTTTAGCGGGGAATCGTATATAAGGCCTTTCATGAAAAGATATGACGGTTGATGTTAGGATCAAAAGAAAAAGTATCGCACAAACAAAAATTCAGAGAGCAGATAAAATACACGTACCTTCAGAGATGATCTTAACTGCATCATCATTCTTCAAACTTTTCAACGTGAAGAGAGCTCTGAAACGATCGTGCAATGGAACAGTACCACTCGTGTTGAGGAGAGCAGCGCGTAGGGCAGAGAGCTCCCTTGGAGAAACTGCGTCCGACATCGAGGAAGATCGAGATAAAAGATAATTCGGCCCAGCGGACTTTTGATTTCATTTGCTGAACCTTGTTCTCCTACATACATATCATGCCTAAGTCAAAACGTTCGCAAATCGGCAAGTTCACACTCTTTGATGGATCGCGATGAAGGCTGATGTTGTATTCTGCTTGGATGATAGTATCTCTCACAAAAGTCGCGAAAAAGACGCGGGAGCATAAAAATCTACTCTTGGCCGAGGTTAGTTTTTGTGGAATCTGTTCTTTCCTCTGGATGCATCCTGCGGGGACAGACCCATAATTACAAACCGGTTTCTACTGCCTGGCCCCCTGCTATGCGAGTGCTAAACGTTTCTTCCCGAAGGTACAACAAAATGCCGAAAAATGGAAGTACTGCTGGTTGTTTCAAGTCGGCGCGATGCGAAATGCTCATCTAAAAACTGTGCGAAAACTATGGAAAGAGTACGTCCTCGCTTCTTTTGCTGTCTGCACCATCGACTCACGGCTTGCAGTTCTGCACGGATATTTTTTGGTCGAGGAGCGGTAATGGCCAAAGCATTGGGCACGACAGTAGAAGAAGAGCACCGAATGGGACTCCACCAACTAGCCCAGGTGAGTCACCATTTCCAAGTTCATATCAGCTTTAACAAAATATGTCAGCAAATAAAAGGCCAGGTAGGGCTGTTTTTCACAGACTCGGAACCTCAAGAAGTGACAGAGTGGTTCAACGATTTCCAACAAGCGGATTATGCGCGAACGGGAAACAAAGCTACGCGGACGGTGATACTACCTGCAGGACCTGTGATGCGGGTGCACTCTGACCCGCCTGAACCGTTCCCACATAACGAGGACCCACAGCTCCGGAAGCTGGGTCTTACGACATCGATGAAGCGGGGTGTACCGACGCTTGAAAATGCTCATCGGGTATGTGATAAAGGGAAGGTTTTGACGGGCGAGCAGGCGCAGCTACTCAAACTTCTTGGTGAAAAGATGGTGGTGTTCAAGGTTGGGTTGTTGGCAAGGTGGGACGCTGCTAGTGGGGAGGTTGTTCAAGTCGAGGGTGGATGTACGGATGTAGAACCGGAAGGTGATGAGATTGAAAATGAGGATGAGATGAGCGAGTAAGTCTCAACTGAGCGCTTTACTATGTGTACATCTCGATTTACTCGACTTGACCGCGCACGAGGATGTAAAGATTACCCTTTCAATTACGAAGACGACTGGACACGTATGTGTTTATCAAGTTCTGTCACGAAAATAATTGGCAAGATTCACTGTGCGGACGGTGCTATAGCATAACATGTATCAGTTCGATAAAAGGTTACAGGAAATGTTTCGCCTTCTCTGTGCGGCACGGCACGTGGTGATGGAGGTAGCGAAAGTCTAGAGAAAATGCCCCTAACGTGAGTCTCCTCTCCCCTTCATGATGATGGCTCCAAGTCTGACACTTTCAATGATAGAAAGTCTGTAACTGACACACCTCCCACATATGATGAGATCTCCTTGTCCGCATCACTGTTAGATTATCCAGTCACCCAGTGAGAAAACCTCACTCGAAGATATACGAATACCGCATTGTAAAATATTTTTCATGAAACCCATAGGGTACGTTCATTTTAAGTCAAAGCATACTGATTCACAATGCATCTTTCCACTGTTGGTAATGCAGATCTGACACGAAGGCCTGGGCTGTCGATGCAGAAAGCTGCTGCAACGCGTTCTTCTGGTCTTTGGACTGGCTGATGAACGAGTAAGCCCTCCCTATCTGGTTTTACAGTTGCTCTGATAACCATGTCGTTAGTACAACCATGATGGATTGCGATGGCACTCTGCATGCAAAGCTGGAGATCATATTAACATAGCGACTCCTGAGGCTTGGCACTATTACTCTCATACTCCGTTCTGGCTTATGTACTTCAACATCCTCGGCCTGTCATTCTCGCACCTGCCACTCTTGACCTCTCCACACTTCCGCAAGATGATCATCGTGCATTCTATGGTTGAAAATGGCTGCCCCGCGCTTCTCACAGTCCTCTCCTTCATTATCTGTCAGACGAGCTCTTCATAGACGTTCTCAGTAGCTATCAAGCTTTGACGGACGTTGCTGGGATGCTCGCCCTCAGCACTCCTCGTGACACATTGTTCAACTCAATTTCCAAATTTGCAATACTTTCGCGAGTAGTGAATCTTACGTTGAATCTCCAACGTTAACTTCTTTTACGGATTAGGGTTGACAGCATCTTCAGGACTTTTCGAGCGAAATCTAGCATGTCCCAAAGTGTCGGTGGTCGTGTGAGCAAGGTGATGCGCGCAAAGCTTGCTGCAGGTGTTTACGAAGTACTTGCACGGTAAGGGTAAGATGCACTATCAGGGCCAAGGGTAATAAATCATAACATGAAACAATGAAATCAACAAGATAAATACTAGAAGGCCGAGAGTCGCTAGGTTAATATGATTTCCAGCTTTGTATGCAGGGTGTGATCGCGCCTTGCTAACAACATGATCATCAGAGGGGAAAGACCGGCCAACAGAACGTGCCGTAACTTTTTGACGCCTCAGCGTTACTCTTGAAATCAGTGTGCCTTGACTTGCACGGGGTACTAGGTGGAACTTTGTCACATTATTCCCATGTTCCAGCTTGCACGCGCTGGCAGACTGTCCTGAAAAAGAGTAATTCCGGTGCACGACCGTTCTTTCGCCCTATGTAATTCCAACAAGTATGTGTGCCCTGCAAGGATTTACAAATGAGTCTCAGGAATACCGAGAGTATCCGTGCGTGTATTGTACTCGTGCAAGCAAGGAACGAGCTCGGTCTTTTTGGGTGTGACAGAGGAAGGAGTCGGAAGAGCAAGGGGTTCTGAATCTCACCTGTTGTGACCCTCAAAGGGAGGAGTAGGAGCGGAGAGTATATCGGAGAGTCGTTTCTGTCTCATAACGTCTGTCGTTCCGAGGTGTCGTCGTGTCTTGGTATCATAAAAAAGATAAGACGGTCTCAGTCGGCGAGGATAGTCTGAATCCCGGTGAAGTCGTCGCTGGTAGGCTGAAGTCATCACTCGAAGGCTGATGATCGAGAGGATCAGTAGCGACCCCTTGAGACTCATTAGTCGAAGACTGATGGGCCAAAATGAAATGCGTACCTGGCGGAGTGTGGTTGCTGTCAAGGAACGTTTTGGATTGAGTGTTGGTGGGATGCTATTGGTCGATAAATATGACGTCGGTCTGCTGTGTCGGCTATGTAAGAACGAGTCTAGTATTAATTCAAACATCCAAAATGCTGGCTCCATTTCCTGTATACCTCAAATCTACTGCGGCTTCAACGTCGGTCTCGACGATGGCGACGACGGCGACGAAGATGGACGACAGTAGTGATAATTTATCCGATATTATTGATCTCTTTCCGTTTTCTATTTCTTCAACTTATGAACCACTGCCACCAAGGCCACCAAAGAATCCGGAAAGGTTGAAGAGGGAATTTGTACCAGTGAGGTCCAATTTGACTGATTGTAATGTACTCTAACCAAAGCTTGAATTTGTCTAGTTTATACATAGAAGAACACCACCTCGTTATCCACCACCCACTTCCCCTCTTCCTCCATTACCACCGGATCCAATAATGTATCCAGCCCCGGGTGGTCTCTCTCCATGGAGTACACCATCATACCCATCAAAATCAATACCAACTGTAACTACTACACCTCAATCAGATTTCATTCTACGCGGCCCCGTCGGTGCACGTGCAGCTTCAGCCGCTCTTCCATCCAAAGTACGTCTGCCGCGTATAACCCCATCACTCATCCTTATTCATAATCACAGATACCCAACTCACCCACACTAGATGACAACAAACCATCTTCCGATCCTGCACTCGCACTCAATGTACATGGCGGCATCGACACCTCGCGTAGGCTCCACCACCGTTTTAGGCGTTATCAAGTCCCTTATCCCAGGAATTATGAACGAAAGGTTGTAGATCTGTACGTCCCTGTATTCTTCCCTGATCTCAACTCACATCTATCCAGAGACGCCATCGATACCCTCTTGACCCGTCAAATGAGCGGCGGTTCCTTGACCTGGCATGCATTCCCCAAATCCTGGAACGAACCATCCGCACAGGGTCCCCTCAAGAGAATATTGGATCTGGGCTGCGGGGATGGCGTGTGGGTAATCGAAGCTGCCAAGTACTGGAAGGGCTGTCAAGTCGTCGGTCAGTCCTATCCGAGCTACCCCTTTTGAGGAGCGCTGACCACTTGCAGGCCTTGATATCGTACCTCTCCACCCGGACCTTGCCCGTCTCTCCAGAAAAAAGGATCTCCTCAACAGAGTAAGCTGGATCCAAGCAAATTTGTAAGTCCACCCACCTAGTCCTTATCCCGCTCTCATCCTTGACTCGCACAGCCTCGAAGGCCTTCCATTCCCAAACGAATCCTTCGATTTCGTACACGTAAAGCGTATCGCTCGAGGCGTACCAGAGGACAAGGTACGTCTGCCTTTCCTCCATCGTATTATGCTAACATCGAATAGTGGGACGATCTCTTCGAAGAAATCACTCGCGTGATGAAACCAGGCGCAGCATTCGAAGTCGTCGAAGAAGACCTGACCTTCCCGGGGTCAGATGGGGAAGGCAGCGAAGTTGGGACCCTGAGAAGTAAAGGAAGCAACATTTCCATGTCCACCTCTAGTCTAAGCCCCGGGACCGGATCAGGGAGGAGCAGCGCAGTCGGGAGCACGAGCAGTTCATCGAGCTCTCCCGGTTCAGCTACCACCCCTGACTCTATATCCTCCATCGCTGTCAACGCCCACTCCCATCGTGATGACCTTTCCAAACAATACCCAATTATATCCATCTCCCTCCCTCCTGACAACCTCTCCGTGCCTTCGACATACCCGTTCATCCATCGTTCGCTATCCGTTCGCCAGCCTCCCTCTGTCGATAGGTCGCACGAGCTGAGGAGGCCGAGGACAGCTACTACACCTCCGAGCCACTTCTCGCAATCGTTCCGCTCCTCGCAATCGTTCCCCCCGAACCCCTCACAGCAAATCCTTTCGAACTCCTCTTCGCAGAGCACGTTCCTTTCTTTCTCCTCAGACAACAGCACACCAACGCCAAGCACCATGAACAAAGTCTCAACGCTTTCACTGACCCCCCCACCCCCCGCCATCCCAGAAATCTAACAAGGCTGCGCAGGCTGTGTTGATGGAGCCTGCCTTTACTCCGTTTTTCGTCAGTGTAGGTTCTAAAACTGGGTCTGGGTCTGGTTCTGCTTCCATCAATGGTTCCATTGCTGGTTCCGGCTCGGGCTCTGCTGTCTCTCTTTACCCCCAGCATTGCCGGAACCAGTACATCAGGCTCAGGTTCACCCCCAGCACAAAAAAAGAATAAAGCAGCGCAGGCAGTGCTGATGGAACCTAATGCTGCCTTTTTTTTGCCGCAGAATAAGAGCCGGGTTTCGTTGATGGGAGAGAGCTCTAGCTCTAGTTCGAGTTCGAGTCAATCCGGGAAGGAGAGCGGCAAGGGACGGAGCAGAGGCTCCTTGGGGAGTCGAATGACCGGCTTGGGGCTATTCGGTGTCAGGACGAGTCCTAGTGCAACTGTTGGAAGTCCGAGTGCAAGTTCGAGGGTGTTGGAGGAAGAGTCGGGTGAGGGAACGGGTCATTTGGATGTACAGTTTCCTGTTAGTACGCCGCCGGATTTGCGGGGTGCGGCGCTTGAGCTGGGGAGCGTTGTACCACTGACACCGCCACTACCACTGGATTCGCGAAGTGTCGCACTGCTGGACGTCATCCCGCTGGATCCACGAGACCATACGGTCCTCGAGACGATCTACAATGAGATGCACGCGGATCGGTTCATTAACCTTTCTCCGTTGAGTTTGTTGGCTAATACGGTGGGGTTGTGGTTCAAAGGTGAGTGCTTGTCGTTCATTTCATCATTTTTGGGCGTGGCAGATGATGGTGGGCGGTGGAATCATGAAGGGTGTCCCACTCCAACTCGGGTGGTGCCTATATAGTCCAAAACTGTTCACCCCGCTTACAACATATCTTCTACTTCTCTGCAAGCGATGTCAGAGTTAGAACTGACTTGCATGCGTGTAGATGTTCGGACGCACCCGCCGATCCTGTTGCGTTTCCCACCGCCGAGGGAACCTGAGGGCTCAAATACGCTATCGGTATCAAATATGGGTTCTTCCAGCCTTGGGTCTGGCGTTGGTGCCGACAGGAATACTTACTCGAAGACCACGATCATCTCACTGGATGGTTTGAGTAACGGCGCATCGCCCTACGCCTCCCTCGATTGCGCAATCTCTATCCAACGACAGACGCAAATGCGGGCTCTGCCGAACCCCGCGTTAGATGTCGACCTAAAGTTTTTGAATCTCCATCTAGCACTGCGCGTGAAAGAGATCGTAGCATGCGCAGAAGCGATGTGGGAGTGGGTAAGCGAGTTTCAGAGAGGCATGGGGAGGACGGATGGGGTGTATGGCAAAATCATTGGGTTGACGAGGTCGCAGTTTGATGAGCTGTTGTTGAGGTTTGAGCTGTGAGTACTCTTTCTCTCTTTTTTTTCTTCCTGTGTGGATGTGTGGATTTGAGTTTGTTGTTCGGTACCAATGCCGTTGATCACTTCTCGGAAACCTGATGGTGAGACCTTGGAGGTGGCGTGGAATCGCCTTTTTTTACTAGCTTCGCGGGGGCACAGCAGCTGGATGATACGCGTTTAGAACATTCAGTCTACGTGCTCCCAATAGGGGCATTGTTTCCAAACGGGGCAAAGTCTAGGGATGAGATAGTGTTTCAATTCAAACCCTTACTTCTTCTTCTGATCACCTGAACCAATGGTTTCTGATTTCGTCTTTGCGATAACATGATCTAATCGACTTTTGTTGTTACAGGGATATGAGGGAGCACATGGGTCTCGGATCTGTGCTCGAGGACCGGTTCAATTGGAGTATGATATCGGGTCCGACACCGCAGGAGAAGCGCTCGTTTGACACTGCGTGCGAGAAATGGGAGGCGTATCGGAGGGTTGGAGGTGGGAGTGGTGATCGAACTCCTTGCGCCGTCGGTGTCGCCGCTCCAGACCCCGCTACGCGTCTGAGCCGCTCATTACGAGTCTTCGTCGCATGGAAGCCTACAGCATGATGATCATGATCAGCGCTTCTTGCAGCCGGATCTTATGCAAGTTGCATGTGACCATGAGGCGTGTGGCGAAGCGCCTCGTTTCAGAGTTTGAACCTATTTTTCTTAATATGGGTTGTTCAAGGTTCCGTGCCGTTAGGCCCTTCCTTGTCTTTTTTTTTGGATTATACCCTCAGGAATGATTCCTTGCAACTTGGGCTTCCATTCATTGCTGTATTGGGATATTAGGGAGCAGAGGGGGGGATAAGGATTTTCTTTTTTTGGGGGTGAAGGTATCGTAATTTCCTGGTGGCGTTCTCGTTGTCCTCGGCTTGTTCAAGGGGAAGGGGAAAAACCTTGTTCGCCAGCCTGAGTCATTCCGCATATCGTGATTCATATTCTTGGGTCTCAGATATGTCGCCGACTAGTCATTTCCGCTCTCATCATCCCCGCACTTCCCCTCTACCTCCGAAGTTGTATCATTAATCGTGCATGTTTCTGGACGCATGTCCTGTATACCATTTCTAGGTGCTCCAACTAGCCATCTCGGCACCGCTGTAGGTGACACACGTTGCATAATTTTATTAAAGCTATTTATTCCATGCATAGGGCTTGTTGTATGTATGCCTTTTATTTACGTGGCTGTCATGCCTAGCGTAGTTGTCATGCGATGAGATTGGTTAGCTGTTATCTTCTAGGCGCTCCAGTGACGGACGGGCTGTCCTTTCGGCTTTTCGGATTGACTCAGGTACCATCCAGCATGGAAACGGGTAAGGAATAAACGAATTTCATTGGCTGAACTACGTAACCGGGAATGTTGGTTTACATGATAAGGGTCTTTCCATAGAACGCATGTGATTATTGGAGCTACTAGTAGGTCTTGATAACCGGGCGACTCGCACGGTCGTGACGACACCACAAGGCACGTTTTCATTGAAACAGATGTCCTAAGCTTAAGTTTGGGATGAACGCTGTCAGTCCAACGTGAGTGATGGGTCAGGCGAGGGAGCGATCGATTATGGAGCGAGATCCGAGTAGCATTACGAGCCCTTCCCGTTGACGTCGCCAGTGAGATCGTGAAGGGGTGGAGTAACGTCTGCAGCGCTGTCGGAACGTTCGAGTCAGTCCATGGAGCTCGACCAACTCGGGTCAATCACCAACTTCCATTTCTGAGAAAGAAATAGACTCCGCGACGACGACGACTCGTCCAGAGGGTCGATCGGAACAAGAAAGGAAACGATCGCGTGCGACAATGAGCATGGACAGAAATGTACATGCCGCTCCCGTTTCGTTGAACAGTTCACGTTTGGTCTCAAAGCCGCGGGTTTTTTTGGTCTTGTAAAACAATCACTGCCTTTGTTGAACTGGTAATAGCACAGATGCGAGTCGTGTATGGACGGACAGAAACGAGTACGAGCACTTTTGACGCCAACCACATGATAACATCCAAAATACTGAATGAGGTTTGAAGAAAGAAATATGGATAAGACCAAGTCAGGGGAAACAATGGGAAATGACCAGGCGGATTCATCAATTATTTGTACAAATTCAGCCAAAATAGCTGTGAGTAACTAACAGCGAAGAAGCTGAAGACGAAGAAGTAGAAGCATGCAGAGAAGTGAGTAAAGCATAAAACAACCCAGTTTGGACGGACAAGAAAGCTTATCATGCATGAAAGTAAGCACACGTCATTATTCGTATCATCATCTGCGGCCATAATGACCACCCTGACTAACTGGCGGGGGCGGGGCCCAATGCGAGTGCTGCGCGGCAGCAGCGGCCAGTCCACCTAAAGGTTGACCGCCCTGGCCTCCAGGGCCACCAGGTCCAGGGTATGAATAAGTACCTGGAGGAGGCAAGCCCATGTGGCCCCCGTACATTCCAGGGTCTGTTGGGCTTCCACCATGTCCACCACCAGGTGCATGGTGACCATGATGTTGGGCATGAGTACCGTATCCTCCAGTCGGGGATGTTCCGTACTGAGGAGATTGAGGCACTTGAGAATGTTGTTGTTGTGGACTCGTCGGAGAGCCAAGTGATATTTGTGGCGGAGGCGGTGCCTGCGGCTGTTGATGTTGAGAGGCAGCTGGGATAGAAAGCGGCGGAGGGATAGTGCTATTTGGGGTTTGCGGCGATCCAGGGCCGGCACGACCAGGTCCAGTGCCAGTTGTTGACGGACGCCGACGACGCTTGTCTCCGGCTGCGGCTGCGCGATTACCGCGAGCAGCCTCTTCGTCAGCTTCATCGTCACCGTCCTCCTTCGTGGCGCTTTGAGGGCCACCAACAGGACCACCTGGAATTGCAAGGCCTCCAGGAAGGTTAGTGCTTCCAGGGCCGGGCAAAGACATGGGGCCAGACGCACGACCTATAGGCGTACCGACTGGCATTGAAGAAGGCAGCGAACCATGTGGGGCATTGAGACATGCTTGAATGAGATTCTTGCCCTCTGGTTGAGTGACGAGAGGTTGAAGCTTTGAGGTTGTAAAGGTGTAAACGAGACCTGTTTCTGATACAACGAGTAAAAGGACTTGAGTGCCTGTGAGTGTAGAAAGCTCGTATGCCTAATGATTCGGTTAGATAAGCGAAGTAGTATTTTGATGAAATAAACCTTTTTCATGATGCCTGCGAAAGTGTAAGAACATATTGAGGAAAAGTACAGAGAGGGCAAAGGAAGTCGATCGCGTACCAGCTTTCCTTTTGGAGAATGTTATGTGACGTCTCGATTTATCTTGAATAAATTCGATCTTAATCTTTCGCCTTCCTGCCTTCTTGTCCGACTTGGGTTTCTCCTCCTCATCATCGTCGTCTCCACCACTCTCAGCAGCATCCTGATCATGAATGAAACCGTCTTCTGGTACGCCTGGTTGTTGTACTGGTTGTGGAAGATGTTGGTGAGGTTGTTGATTAGCAGGTGGCGGTGGTTGCTGTTGAGGATCCGCAATGACGGGATTTGCGAGATTGAGGTCCGTGCGTTGGCGCTTACGCATTGTTGGAGAGGAGGCGGCGGGGTCGTCTTGAATGCTCTGACCGGAAAGGGAAGGTTGTTGGCTGTGATGAGCCGCGGCGTTGGAATACGGATAAGATGGCGAGTTAGTGGTAGTGGAAGTAGGTTGACGGCGATAGGCCATATGGGTTGTTCACCCTACGACGACGATGAAGAGAACGCGTTGAAATAAAAGATAAGTTGAACGTTGAACGCGACTTGGAGGATGTTAGTGTCAGTGCGGACGGCGTCCTTAAAAGGAATCGCTGAAGTTGGAAGGAGGTGGAAAAGGGAGGGAGTTGTCAACGGGGCGTGTGTTGTCTCAGTCTGGACGATCAAAAAAAGACTGTCCTTGTGGTCATTTATTTGGTCATAATCGGAGTATCAGATGCCCGCCAGGCACACCGCGGTAATCCCCGCCGACTACTTACAGCAATACTTCCGCAGCTATCGCTCCCACGATACCCGCTTCCGTAATTATTTCACTTTCCATTTGGAATTACTATCCCTTTTATAGAAATGATTACCTCGTGGCAATCTCAAACTTATCCATTTTAGTAAAACATGACAAACCTCGTGTCACCAAATTGAGTCTCCGCATCATCCAATCATAACAACTCTGACGTGACAACCAAAAACAACTTTTGATTATAATAAATATACAACAGTCCAAACGCAAGTATACCATCAATCACGAGCTCATGCTCCTGTGGCGCTTAGCGCGCTCTTGTCCTTTCCCCTGTACAATTTTGACATTCGAAAGTTCTGGACATTTGGTCTCTTTACGTTTCCCGGTCTTCATCATCATCATTATCCAAGGGCCGGGCCGCATTGTCGGTCACATACTGATGGTTGGAACGTGTCAAGACGTTGTTGATGGAACGACCGGGATGCCAAGTCCTGATAGTGCGCTTGTGACGCACTCGTCAATATTTCTGGCCTTGCTACCGAGCCGGACCCGTTCAAGGGCTATTTCGATAGCTCGTACGTCGCACCGACTACGCCAAGGTTGCGGCAATATTCCGTGCACGTACGCCGCTACGTCTGCATCTAGTGTAATGAGTAAATACAACACGTATCCACAACGAACAATCCATCAGTCAGTCCAAATCTAAATACATAAAGCATACGTACCACTCGGCTCGCTCACGAGTCGGCTCAGGTGCAAATCGTTACAGTCCTTGTCACGACAAACACCCCCACCAGGGACTTCGTACTGACATACCCGAATACCCGAGTCGCTAGCACTGACTTGTCCAAGGGCGCGCTGCAAGCTTGCAAGCTTCAATGGCTTGAGATCTGGAACAAAAACAGTCGAACATGAATGAGATAATGATGGTGCACAGTAGATAAGCGAAGTGCGTGATGAGGGTGATGATAAATTAGGTGCATGGCTCGCACTGGCTTGCGATGACGATCTGGATGAATGAGTGGCAGTTCGCCGAGGATCTTGACAAGAATCGGCATCAAGAGGCGTTGTACGTAATTGGGATAGAAGTAGAGGGTAGGTCGAGAATGGCGAATCGTAATACGGAAAGCTCGTTTGAGAACCTTGCAATTCCTTCTTCGGAACCTGGCATGCCACGCCACCCCCGACGTCAGCATAGATAGGCCTAAATAGGCCTCGCAGCCTCGATTATCGAATAGATCGAGACGCACCTCTGACGACGATAGGCCATCAAACACGCCAGCAGTTTGATGAAACGTTGCGCTTAAAGATTCCTATATCCGATTCCGGAATCACAAATGGAGAAAGGAAACAGAAAATTAGAGTCAGTACATAAAACACACTCAAATGAAAAGAGAGAAAGGTTCTTGCCCATTTTTCGGAATGTGCTTCCTCTGTCAGCGCTGCAAAAAGCAAACAAGGTATTAATGTAACGAATAGATGGGAACGATGAGGTCAGCGCGACCGCGGAGAAGTGAGGACATGCTTAACCAAGGCAATGAGTTACGAACCTTGGTCTTCGTCGACGGCACTATCATTAGTGATTGGCTCGAATCCTACACCCCCTGAGTAGACCCAAGTAGTAATGGCGAGGATCAAAAATGAAAAGAGTGACCAGAAAAGGGAAAGGAATGAACAGCAAAGGTACGACAAAATGAAGTATAAAAAAAAATATAACAGTCAAGACCCAGAGGGGGGGACAAACAAAGAGATATATCAGCCGGCTGTCGGACTGGTGAAGAACCAGGAAGAACCCATGGTGTGCTTGGCTGAGGTTATTTCGCTGCTGGTGTTAACAGCAGCTTCCTCAGCGGAAATGACTACATGAATATCGGCGCTTTCTTGGACTGCCGTCGGTTCAGTGTGATCTGCAGACCCACATGAGCACCACGTATCGCGTTGTGAGAAAAGGAAAGGGAGTAGAGATCAAGGGTAAACACAGTCTATACTCAAAAATAGATCGCAGTTGAAATGCAATGCAATGAGATCAATGCCACGACATGACAACGTTATACGAAGACGACACAGGCACAGGGCGATGAAGACCAAAGCGAACCTTGCGTATCTGCCATAACGGCATCTTCAGCGTCTTCAGACGACTGTGTACCCCCAACATCGCCATTATGAAGGGGCGTGGCGGCGTCCTCCTGGTTGATGGGCGCTCCAGAGCCACCTGCCGATTTAACCACGGCAATCGAAGGAGGTACAGCAGGATCAGCTGTGAGAGGCCCTGCGGCTGCAGGTTGGATTACCGGCGTCGTTTTGCCCGACATCTGAAACATTGGTAAATCATCTTACGAAGTCAAGCCAGCACAAAGGGAACACACAGCGGCAAGTTTTTTCTGCCGAAGCTCTTCTCGCTGAGCAATCATTTGGCGCATCCTTTTGATCTCCTCCTCTTTCTCTACAAGAGCAGCAGGCGACATACCCGGAGCATTAGAGTTGATTGGATGCAAATTCAAGGGAGTCGAACGCCCCTCGCCATTAGCGAAACTATTGGACGAAATTGGCGTCCCATGTCCACTAAACCGTGGGGGACGCGCGAAGACCATCGGTGAGTATGATGATGGACCGTCATGTGGACCGGTATCACCAGTCCCTTCGCCATCTCCATCATCCTCGCTATCGCTCAGTTCGATGACACATCGTCGCATGCCACTCACTCCCGCAAAACTCCCTGTGTTCCGTCGAAGTAGATTAGGGTGCGTATAGCCATTATTCGAATAACCGTTGCCAGAAGAAGCTCTGGAAGTACCAGGACCGTGGTCAAAATCAACGAAGTCTGCAGCGACTGGTCGCTTGGTGCCCCTTCGTTGTACGCCATCGGTGTCATAACCTGAAGTAGCGGATGCGGGTACTGGAGTGGAATTAGAGTAATCAGCCGGCGCGGTGCATGAAGATGCGCCAGAATACGTATCCGAGGATGGTGCAGTGGAATTGCCGGACAAAGGTGGAGTATCAGTCACCGGCGAAATAGTACCGCCTACTCCAGATGTTTCTGAGTCAGCTGAATACAAACCAGATGGCGCCATAGAAGAGGCCGATTGCGGTGTGACAAGACCAAGGAACGCCTTATCAACTTCCATGTTTCCAGGGCTGGAGTACCGTGCCGGGCGCAAGGATGGAGATTTACTACCGTTTTCTGCGATTTCACTGTCCACAGCAGGAATGCTCTTCAAAAAATCTTCGACAGTCTCAGTTGGAGCAACATAGGACATTTCAACGTCCCTGTCTCTCGAAGATGAACCGCCAGGGGAATTAGACTGCTTGGCCTTGCGAGAAGCGAAAACAGCTTTTCGAGCAAGTAGCTCTTGTCGTCGTTGTTGTTCGATCATGTGAAGAGAATGAGAAGATGACGAGTCGACTGCTGATGGGGATGTGGGTTCCACCTTCACGTCAGTGGGCTCACCACCTGACGATATACGGAGGCCAAGACGAGTAGCGAGTCTGCCACGTGAGTGATCAGAAGCACCCGAAACTGGGCTAGTCAACTCTTTGTGAGAAGGAATTGTTGGTGGCGGGGGCATCGCTGATGAGGAGGAACGAATTGATTGGGAAGGTGAAGCAGGAATGGAGCACATCATTTCAGGGGTAGGGTATGGAATGAGACCATTGGTATCCAAATTTGTAGGCATCCGCAAATTAAGTTCGGTGAAAACATAGAATACGACGTGACGGCTAAGGCCACAATCGACGAGGTACTCAGGGGGAACACCCCATCCAAGTAGATCCAAGACGATGTCTTTTGCGGTATTATACTGATCTTCGGTCACTGTATTATATAAGAATAAAAATGATTAGCTAACGTCTTCAATAAAAAGCTAATACGAACTGGCCAGCCCTGGCCTGACATGATCTGGGTCAAGTCTATACGTAGGTGTCTCAAGAACAAATGGTTGCAGGAAAGCTGGTGGCGGTGACTGGTAGATTTCTGATCCGAAGGCAGGATTTGAAGTGAAGGGTGATTCGAGGCGAGGTGAAGGCCTATGCCTATTATTTGACTCGACTGGAGAGGTAGAGACAAGTTTGGAAGCGACGGTGTCCTTCGAGGAAGTTTCGAGCCTCCGAAATTTTGGAGGCGGGGAGGTAGGCCTTGGCGGTGGGGCGGCTTCTTCCGTATCGCTGATTTCACCTTCCTCTCGGATCTGACCATCTTCAATTTCTGATATCGGTTTATGAATCTCCTCTGATGTCGATGGAGCCCTTGTTTCTGTCGCAGGAAAATTTGCAGAAGGCGTTGAGGATGTAGCAGTATCTTCTTGACCGTAATCTAAGTGTAGAGTCTGCTCGACCAGAGGACGTTGAGGTATTACTGGCGGTTGCTCGACAGTAACTTTGCGGCGCTTTCTTGAAAGCAAAGCGGCTGCGCGCAATGACTGGGCGGGATCAACTGAGTCAAGATCCTGCGGTGGTGGATTGTCGATATCCATAATAGTGCGACTTGGACCTGCGAAAGAAGCTAAAAGACCAGCGATTTCCTGTTTGCTGATTGCAGTAAGAAGACACTGCAAGTTTGAGAAAAGGTGCAAGCGTAATTGATGGGAATGTAGGTGCAAGGGGACCAAAACCCACAACTTTCGGGTGTTTTGCTGACGTGAGCCGACACACAACGCACGGACCCCCACATTCTTTTCTTAGAGCTCAAATCCACAATATACCATCGTAACGGCGCGGGAGCCAGTTCCCGACTTACTTATTGCTGGCATGTTCTGTGTCCCTCGGATTGAATGAAAATTGTAAGACTAGTCTTTTTATTTCGTTTTGCATTGGTAAATGACTGTGATGGCAGGGACATTGTTTTAGTGTCAATATGACAGGTGGACTGCAACAAGTCATAGCCAAGTAGTAAGCATGAGCAACCAGTTACACAACAGTTACGGGTTCAAAACCTGCTCGGCAACCTTTTTTTATGCCTCGCCAATCAAAATAGATCATGTGACCTAGCTACTTTAGTATAGAAGATATTTCGACGTTCTTGCTTCATGCCTCTCGACGGACAAAGCTACTTGGCATCGTACGGATGGTCAGGCAAAGGCACAGGCCTTCGCACGGGCGCTATCGACAGGCCCCTTGCTATCCCCAAAAAACGAAACCTCGCCGGCGTAGGCAAGGACCGTGATGAGGCATTCCCCTTCTGGGACCAGTGCGTTCTGTCCCGTTCAAATTCTCCAATATCTCATCTATTCGAAGCCTATATTCAGCTGCCACAAAAGCTATCACCATCAAGATAGCAGATGATGATGAGGACGACGAGGACGATGACGATGACGATCAAAACGAGGTCTGCACTTGCATTTCATACTGCGCCATCACTCACTCGCCGTACGATTAGGATTCATTAAGGTCCACGACCCTTCAACTAAAACGAACCACGACAGGCATCATCTCGAATAGAAGACCGTTGTCGGGTACCCCTGCATCCGGAATAACTACCCCAGACTCAGACATCTACCCACGCATCTCCGTAATGACCATTGCGAAACGCGAGGCTGCAAGAAAAGGCTTATACTCTCGATTTTTCCGTGGGCCAACATTGGCCCCTGATGATCCTAGCAATTTGTCATCATCCCCTGCCCCGTCCCCCCTGCATTCTACCGATTCAACTCCCGAAAGAGATATTGCTCCTCAGACTGACGTCCCAAGCAGGAAGCAAAGTACAAAGCGAAAATCGTCAGAGCTGCTCGAGACTCGAGAGCAACGGAAAGAAAGAAAAAGACTGAAGCGGGAGAAAAAAGAGAAGAGAGCAGCAGAAACTAGGAAAGAAAAGTCCGTACTACATGGTTTCGAGACGAAGGACGAGCGTAGGGCGCGGAAGGAAGCCAAGAGGGCTATGAAAACATTGGAGGCAAATTCTCCTGATATTGCAGAATGTGGAAAACCCCCTGCAGCTGGGGATGTGGTCTTTACGAGCCTCGATCAGCCTCCATCACAGGGGCAATGTGAGAGAACCATAAATGCTTCTCAGGTTGACGACTCTGCAGCCGAGGACAACATAGATACAAAGAAGAAGAAGAAGAAGAGAGAAAAGAAAGATCCTTAATTTAGCATTTCGTCCGCCACTGTAGGTTTATGCCATTGCATTGACATTCGGGTATTTCTCGTAAAGATATCAAACACTACCACACGGTTCCAATGATACAAACCAAGCTGTTAATGATTGCGATTGATGTGCAACTATTCTACATGATCCATCATCGTGATATACTGACAAAAGAAAACTAATCACAAACGTGATGCAGAAGAACGAAAAACATCTCCGATGTCATCAACCTCGCACGCTCCGCCATGCGCTTTGCATGGCGATACGCCGGGCCTGTGTTGCACGGCAATCAGTACGAGATAGCAAAGCAACAAGATGGACCTACCTGCTCAAGCGAGATGGAATCCTCCCTAAGTTCCACCCGCTGCCTACCATCGTCATCGTCGTCATCATCGTCATCAGCATACGGGCGAGTAGTACCCCTCACCCCGCCAAAAGCGGCCTTACCACCCGCCAACGAAAAAGGCGTCGAGGCGACAGCAGTGCCGAACACGCTGGCATTCTTCGGCGCGCCGAAGGCAGCAAAGTCAGTTACGACTTTACGAGGAGGGGACGACGACGTTAAGGGGCTAGTACTCGGCGTTATAGAAGAGTAAGTCTTCTCTGGTCGCGAAGGCGTATGAGGCGAATATGGATATGAGTACAAACTCCGGTTCGCAGTCTGTCGTGCGATAAGATACTTTTCCGTGAAACGCGTGCCTTGCACCTTTGGCGATGAAAGCCGTTAGCTCGCGAAAGAACCGTAGAAAAACAACGCACCCTCTTCAACTGTGGTTTCGCCTCATGCAGCGATGTAGCGTGGGTGAAGACCGCGACGTTATGCATAGCTTCGGGAGACTCCTTGTAGATGCTTTCAATCACCACTTTCTTGGTGCTTTCATTCCGGAGGAGCAACTTCTCGTGCAATTCACGGGCGACATCATCGACGCTTTCATTGTTCCCAAGAATTCGTTGCGCCACAGCATGCCCCACCTCTCGAACAAGGCGCTCCATATCGAGGTTTTCCAACACACTGCCTACGATCGCGTGCGAGAGGAGATCAGCTGTTGTAAGTGGGAGCATGAGCCCAGATGTGATGGTTGTAATTGCTTGGTAGAAATCTGTTGCATACTGAAACACATGTAAGTACTGTGACAAAAGAGTAGCGACAACCATACCGAGTAACCACTGAGCGCCGGTTCGCATGCAACGAAGAACTAGGGAACCGGTTATCTAACTCATTGACCGTTGGACCGTGATAAAACGTACCAGCGTGATGCCCCGACTAGCCATCTCGCGAACTAGTTGCAACGGATCGTGTCCATCTGGAGAGCCTTCATCGAATCCTGCCAAAGGTTGAATACATCGCTCAAATAGCCAGATCACCATACTTACCATCCCCATACTCTCCTATTCCGTGCGGTGGGGCATCAGCAATCAGAACGACCATCTTGCTCGCATGCTCCCTCCAGTCCATATGGAGTGCTTCTGCGAGCGCAGCTGTCACGGCCTCCGGTCCATCACCACCCCCAGATGCATAAAGCCCTGCAAGGTCCCGATGTACCTTGCTGATATCAGATGAAAACCCAAAGTTCTTCACCACATATGTGTGATCCTGTGGCGGATGGTCGCGGAACGCAACAAGGCCGACGCGCAAATCCTCTTGCGATTGAAGCTTCCCCGACTCAAAAATATGTGCGCAAATCTCCTCGATGTTCTTCGTTGCAGATGAGATGTAGCTTCCTTGACTGCCCGTACAGTCTTGCACAAACACCAAGTCGCTGTGCACGGGTGAATATGACGGCTGGTATAGAGTCTTGCAGGCACGTACAGCATCTTTCTTCCGTCATAGTAGTTTTGACGATGAAACTGGGGAGTCGGCTGAGCCGTGTTGGCGTCGAATTCCATATCTTCATCCATGGCGAGTCACAGTGTTATTGTAATTGGTTCAGATGCAGGCTCCTGGGAATATTTATCGACGAATACTTGGTCTGCCTTCGTATTCCTTGTTACCTGAGAGGCGGTTGAAAGAGCTGTTGAAGATCCAACCTGGTAAATATAGTCAAAGTTTACACCTTCTGGAGTGAGGGCTTCTTGTGTGCAGTCCCAGGACCCAGGCGACATCCTGCAGGCATCTCGGATCTCAGCAATCGGATATCGGATCTCGTCTGCTGTATAACTAAACCCAGCGCCCAGGTCACTAATCTAGAATTCCCCGCACGAGTTCGACTGTGTATAACTCTATAAAGTAGATATATGCAATATGCGAAAATAATCAAGGATCCCGCCTGCCCAATAACCATGTAGCCCAAGGTGTTGTCCAACTAGGAAGAATCTCTTGTCGTAAGAGACTCCTGTAGAGCATTACGAGACCCGCACTGACGCCCCCCAGTAGTGCAGTAAATGCCACGTAAACACGCACCCGCTCCGAGGCTGTCATCGCACGATCTGCCCCTCCGGGTATTGCCGCGTGACTAAAATAGGGTGGTCAGCAGACCTTCAAGAAACAAAAGAGCAGGAACGACTTACGGATTCATGGCAATGCTGCATATTGCATGGAAGACGTCTGCGGTCTGTCCCGTTTTGACGCTGACAGCGACAGGCACCTGGAGGCCAAGCCGTCTGCAGTATACGTCGGGCTGAACTTCGTGTCTCTAAAATGACATCAGGAAGGAACTGGCTTTGGCAAGAAATATCCAAACTTGTTGTGCAAGATCCAAGTCCGACTTTGTCGCAACGAATAGGGTCGGTGTATGATCGAGAGTGTATTGTTGCTATAGTCGAATTTGGGTCAGCATCCACCTTCGAGGGTCAAAATAACCTACTCGTAGATTACTGATGTAAGAGAACGAGTTAGTATCACTGGAATCATGTACGTAGACAATGACGTCAGCAAGATCCGTCTTCTTCGACGCGCGAAGCGTCTCTGCCTCGTATTTAGACCCAAATTCCTGGAGCTAAACCAATCACTGTCAATTACCCACGTGCCAAATGTTGTTAAGACCTTACCACGAGGTACTTTTCTGAACCATCAATATCCACGGCATTAACTACGCTCACCATCTTACTAGTTGGCTCGTAGGCGTCGCGAAATGGCTTCCCAGCGAATGACCGCAGTAAAGACGTCTTGCCTGAACCAGCCGCACCGCAAACATAACATAGGAAAACATTGCGGGAGACTTTGCCTTTCCGCCGGTCAAGTTTGCGGGGACGTGTTGTCAGTAATGCAGATGTGCGTTGTTCATCGGGGTATCCAAGATAGGCAAGGTATGCGAGAGTGGTTTTATGATCTAAGAGAGTAGTCATACTGGCATGCAGGGTAGGTGGATGAGCAGGGCATTCAACTGGAGGTGATCCCAAACACAGACCTCCATTGAGCGAGCCAGCCTTGCAGAGTGACCGCACCTTTATCATCCACCAGGGTCGTATCCGGGAATTTCTGAGTTTCCCATGGATTCCCTGGGGATGTACTGAACAGTTCTTCCAGTTCTGCGCTGTTGAGTGCACCATCTTGATCCTAGAGATGTATGTGAGCGCGACATAAAGGCACGTTTTAGTGTCCAAACCTTGTCGAAAGTTTCAAAGATATCAGTGAAGAATTGATATCCTTGAGGACTCAGTTCAACAGAACAGTCATGGGGCACGTCGAATCTAAAAGATCGGTCAATTTTTAAAGCTCATAAAGTTAAATCGCGTACTTTGGGAGTAGGAATGACTCAGTGAGTCGCAGGTCTTCTGCATAACCAAATTTGCGGAGAACAGCCCATGTTGTCTCCAGCCTTCCGCGTTGAATAAATATCGTATGCAGGTATAGAAATCCAGCCTCTGTCAAACCATCGTCTCGCACGCCTCCCTCCGCATGCTCACGAACCATATCCTTGATGCCTTCAAGTTCCTGGAGCTGTAATGGTGCATCAAAACATTTTCGCTACACGCTTTCGTGTTTAGCATTTCCGGATGCTAGAGAAGTGAAAATATATACTTGGAATTCATTCAGCTCTGCAGCATCCAAAACACCATCCTTGTTCGCATCGCAGAGCTTGAATATTCGTTTCAGGGCGCTAACACAAGCGGGTTTCAGGACCTGGGGAGCTTCAGTTGAGAACCTATCACGAGCTGTCAGTACGCACATGTTCCCTGGAGTCATACAGAGGAGCAGTGGGATGCAGGACCGCTTTCTGGGCAAAGTAGAAGACCTCCGACACGTTCAGCGGCAGTTGAGCGGAGCATTCAACGCATGTCTCGACTTCCTGGGTGACATTATTGAATTTAAGAATATCGCAGGAAGTTTGACATGCCTTGAACTCATTCATGATGGGTATGATCTCTTCCTCCAGGGCTTCGTTAGTAACCTCACCACCTCTTAGGTCGATCTTGTTTCCGACGAGGATTACAGGTACCTGGATATATTGTTAGGTTGATGCGAGAAAACTAAGATAAAACAAACGTTGACGCCTAATTGACGAAACAAGGGAAGCCAATATGTAGGTATTCGATCAAATGAGTGAGGATTGTCGATTGAGTATACCACGCAAATAACATGCGCTTTGCGTACTTCCGATTCGAGATGCTGTCGGTCTTGTGGGCCAGCTTGTATTGTAAGTTGAGAATGGCGCGTCTTTATTCATAAGTTTGTGGTACAATACCTCCTGAATCGACAATGTAAGTGGTCACGTTCTCTGGGTTCACCTCCGGTGGAATGGTGACCTCCGGAACGACATGTTGAACCTGGCATTGGAGCCATCAGTGCCGCAATCACGTGTAGAAGAGTAGAGCATACATGTGCAACGAAAGCTTCCTTAATGAGAGAGGTGACAATGGTACTTTTACCAACACCCTCTGCGAAGCCCTGGATCAGCACACGCGGTCCACAGCAGGAATAACAACGTACCATCCCCTACAAGCAAAATGCGAACATCCCTCCTCATGACCCTCTGAAAAGAAGACGTGATAAACCTGACTCGGCTTTTGTGAGAAGCCTTAGCTAGACGATGGCGATGGACGTGAACTTTGAAACAGTGTACTTAATCCCTCCCTGTTTGGCAGTCCTGGCTGTCTCGGTACGGATCGTCTTATATAAGCACAAGAGTCTATTGACTTTTATGGAAGTCCAGCACAGGCGAGCTTAGCACTGCCACTACCTCTTACTCGCTACTACTATGACAGTCGAGGCCGCTGGTCTTATCCTTCCCAGTGATGTCCTAATCATTATAATGGCAAACCTTGATATGGAAGACCTCATCAATCTATCCTACACGTGCAAATTTGTGAACCTCTTGGTACATATGAATTAAGTTCACCATAATTTCGGATCTCTGACTAGTACCGCCCATTATCAAAGGTTCACGAGTTTGGATGGTCGCTCTACCTCAAATACAACGTTCGTCCGTCATTCACGTTGCAGCTGGCACGTAGAAGCTGGTCCTCTTTTGATCAAGTTCGATACGATGTTGCGTCTGACCGCTGTTGGGCTCAGGCAAAGTTTAACGCGCGACCATTATCACACCCCTGGCGCAATAAATACCAGCCTAAAATTGCCCTGTCTGCTTCTGTGTTACTCGTTGCTGCCAATTACACTATTTATGCATATCATATAACCCACTCTTCCTCGCTTGATGATGGTGTTCCTGGAGTCTCATACGAGGGCTCATATTCGTTCACAGACCGGCCGGCAATCACAAGCATCACCTTCATTCCCGATCGTCATTCGGAAAGGACAGTAGCTGTTGGTTTCGAAGATGGACGTATACATCGTGTATTCCTTCCTCATTTTCAACAGGAGCAATCCAACAATAAGCCGTTGGCATTGAACATCGAACGCGATCCCCCTCTCGCATTGCGCATCGTCGATGTAATAGAGAGCCTGACGTGCTCAGATAACATGCTCTTGTCTCTATCATCTTTCGGAACTGCAGGCCTCTGCAACTTATCTTCAGATTCGCCCCTTGTCAGCGCCATAAACCTGGACTGCAGATCTTGGTCCAGTTTTATCTGCATGAAGTCTTCTACGCCGTTTACGGCATTTGGCACAACATCCCCAAATCCTCTCGTCGTTCATGCCGTAACCCCTTCCTCATTGTCCCCTGCACCATTTGCCATCCTGCATTCCACGCATGAACGCTCCACTGCAGTGTATGATATAACGAACGCACCACCGTCTGCACCATGGGGTTCATCAAAACAGGTCATCGTATCCGGATGGTACGATGGCGCTGTTCAAGTGCATGATTTACGCTCAGGTTGGCGTGATTCAGGGGTCACGGGCACCCCTGCCCCCTTGCGTCCCATGCTCACGTTCTGTGATCCCTGGTCTGATGAGCCCATCTATTCCGTGTCATGCGGAGGCGGTTCTTCAAGTGTTGTTGGAGCAGGCACTGCCCGTCACAGCGTTGTTGCGTTCTGGGATGTTCGCCGTCCCACAGAGGGATGGAGTGTACACGCTCCAGGCAACGACTCATCCCCCGTCTATTCCCTGGTACTCGAGAGTTCCCGTGTATTTGGCGTAACGCAAAGTCGACCTTTTGTGTTCGACTTTGGGCCCGGTGTGACTAAAGACACATATCCTTTTCTACCTCCTTCCACACGCTCCCAGCATGACTCTCTCAAACTCAACAAGAACGGAGTCGGATACTGTGTCACCCAATACAATCATAGCCGTACGTAGACAATACCTTATAATTTATTTATCATCTTGTTCAGTCATATTGAATTTCATGTATCTTTGTGGTCTACACAATACCGTTGCATATTACAGAGCCGGATGAGGGTCGAAATTAGCTAGAGGTTTCCATGCGTGCGTGGGAGTACAAAACAGATAGCAAAAATATGACTCAAAATGCAGTGGATGGGCACGTATTGGGGAAAATGCAAGAGTGATTATAGAATAAACAAAGGACGGAAGACAGAACGAGCAAACATGGAATGAAGCAACACTAGGTAGATGTGGGTGGCTGTGCCTGTGAACGTGTTGCCCAGTTGAACAATTGCCGCATGTCACTAGGAGGAGGTGTGTCGGCAGGCTGCTTCGGCTCAACAAGCAGGCTACAACGACCAACTCAGTGGACGTTCAGAGAAGCTGTAAACTCCACAAACCTTCGTCTATAGAGATCCTGAAGGTCGCCGTGATGTTTGGATTTCTCAAATGCCATCTGCAGGTATTCCTGCACTTCGGGAATTTTCTTAAGATTATATGACACCTGAAATCGTTGCATGTCTAAAAAAACCTTCAGTCAAGAAGCCCACAGTAATTATGGGAATACAAACCTTGAACAATCCGAGCTAGCTTGTGGTACTTGTTAAAATTAAGAAGTTTCTTCCCTGGTGCATTGGGAGACTCGCGATATGACGGGTTTCCCTCGCGACAGAAAGTCACATCGGTCAAGTAAAGACCTTCACACCGGTCAATATACAAGGGCTTTCAGATAACAGGACTGTCGTACCTAAGAATGGGACTGCTGGAGGTGCGATGTTGCGAAGCCTGCTTCGGTATTGGTGGTAGTTCCGCCCGTGATCTGCCAGTCGACGCAAAGACTCCAACTGCATTTTACTTTTATGTGGAACACCCTGAAAATTTGCTATGAACAACACAACAGTGCGAATATGAACGATGCTTACTAGCCAAGTCTGATGAAGCCGAGATATCGTGGAAGAGTCGAGAGCCGCTAGGATGGACCGAGGAGTACTGAAGTTGTGTAATGAAGTACATCGCTGAAAGGCAACAGTCGGTTGGGAGAATGCTAACAATCTCGTATTCGCTCACATCGGCAACCTTAATGAAGAATTTCACGAGTAATGTCCGCTTCTTGATATCATGCTCGTCCAAGATGTTCTCAGCAACCCATCCCGTGATGACTGTGCTTAGGGAGGAAACAGCTCTGACGTTGATAGGCGGTTTTGTACCCTCCTGTCCCGTCTCAAGAACCTCCTCGGGCTGGATCGCGCAGTACAAGTCGCATTCCATGATTGTCAACTGTCTTGCCAACTCTAGAGCATCAAAATCAGTGATGGCGACCGTGTCGAAATTCTTTCCACGAAGCGTGGCCAGTAATGCCTTCGTCATTGTTGGTCGTGGAACCTCGGATAGTGTATATGACGGAGGATTGATCGACATGCCAGGGTCGCGAACACGTTCACTCTTGGGGCTCACAAGACTGGTGTTGGAGTCTTGCCGCATGGAAATCAAATCAAGAATCCGGTGGGAGGGCGCAGGGAAGTAATGTAGGAGCGCATCTTTCGTGAACGACGAAAGGTGCGAGAGAGCGATGTCGTCGATCTCAGACCGCCAGTACATCTCCAACCACGTCTTCACAAAATTGGATACGCGCAAGCGGATTGGGATGCCCTTATGCTGCTGCCAAATCGACATTTCGTCTTCTGAGAGATTGGATGGAGGCATGATATTATAACGGTTGATGAGTGCTTCCACAAGTGCAAGTGGAGTGGAGAAAAGGCGGAAGGTGAGGAAGAAGACCGCTGAGAACGCAGGATCTACGATACTGTCATGGGGTGTCATTCTCTCGAACAGCGCCTCCATTGTCGCTGCCACCAAGTGACCCTCATTGTTAAGGACGACATCGTTTGTAGAGGAGTCATGACCAAGAGGATCACGCTTGACTTGTAGTGTGACAGGCTCGTCGTTTATCAACCGCTCCTCGAATGCGTCCATAGTCTGGCGATCCTGCCGTTCGTCCGCGCGTCCATCATCAACTGCTGGTGAAGGTGATGATACAGGTTCCATTGGCTTCATCAAGTCGGGATCGCTCATAGATAATATGCCGCCTTCTGGCGTTGTTGGTTGAGTGTCATGCGAACCGTCTGATGGATAAGAGGTTGCCGTGGCATTGGATGTGTCTGAAGATCTATCTCGGACGCTAGTAGCATTGGGGGTAGGAGAAGGCGGTGTCAGAGTCTGTACGGTGAGATCATCTTCGTCGATGCCATTGTGATACAAGCTTTGATGCGTAGGCAAGCCAAGGGCCGGGGTTTGACCAGTCCTGCGAGAAAATTTGCTTGGAGTGAACGGCGCAGGGTCTGAATCGGAGGTTGTAGGTATTTGGATGATAAATTGCCTCTCTCCTGAAGCCCTATTCAAGCAGATTTTGACAGCCGAAACGCAATCAGCACCCGCTTTACATGCTGCTGTAGCGGATCGTATTAAGGATGCCTTTTCGGATTCCTCTGTGAGGTCAGGAGGAAGGGGCACCGTGAGTAATCGCACGGATTCGGCAAGGGAGCTAGTGACATTGTAGAGTCTCTCTTTTGCGGACTTTAAGTTCCCAATCTTGTGGAGTGGAATCTCGGGATGCCGCATAACAGCTTCGACGATAGTGAGCAACTTGCACACCATCTCCACCACTTCTCGCACGAGATCATACATCTGACCTGTACTAGAAGCATGTGATGATCGTGAATGAGAGTGTGCATGACCGATGAAGGCGGCGATAGTAGAAAGGTACTGGTCATGGGTAAACTTCAGAGCCTCCATCACCTTCGAAGATGTCGAGGGTCCTGATGGGAAAGGGGGCATTGCCGGTGGTTTCGGCGATTCCGCAGACGAAACCGACGAGAATGACGAAATACTGCTGATGGATGGCATGTCGGCTTTGTGTTTGCCAGCGACACGCTCGAAGACGAGATATTGATCCTTCTTCGACCGGGATAGTATCGTTCTGTGAGGCAGGAGGGGAGAAATGGTAGAGTCCGAATCTTGATATGCAGCTAATCTCCGCTGCAACCTCAGATCTCCCAAACTTTTGGTCCGCGGGGCCGTCTTTTGCAGGACGCCATCAGGTGAGTGTGGTTGTCGGGGAGTTGCTAGACGAGACGATAAATGAGAAGGAGTGACAGAATCGGGAGATACTGATGCTGGGATTCTGTCTTCAGGTCCGGCAGGGCTCACTTGTCCCTGTAAGCCAGACGCATTAGCGATGGCTTCGTCCGGAGTCACAGGCTGACGCCTTTCCGGCAAGTCGATGCCACATTGTACAGCGACAGCAAGAAAACGCCGAACTTGTGAAAAGACCTGGCCACCTAATTTCAACATTCCTTCAATTT